TAGAAATATATACCGTAGATAGAAATATTTTTAGGACCGTGCGGTATGTTACATAAGGTGGGGCAGGATTGCTTTTACACTGATATCTGCCTACATGCACGATAGAAGAGATGCTGAAGACGATATATCCGCCATGGAAACGATCTTACAAGGTACAAGAAACGTGATCGTCTGCTCAGATGCCAACTCCTGGAACACGGTCTGGGGGTCCAATCAAACAGACAGAAGAGGCGTCAAGCTGGGTGAATTTATTGCTAGAAACCAATTGGTGGTGATAAATGATCCGTCTGCTACACCTACCTTCTCTGGAGGTAGAGGGCAGAACTGGATAGATAACACTCTGCCCTCACCAACGCTATCTAGATACATCTTCGATTGGACACTCAGATCAGAGACGAGTTCGGACCACAATGCGATTGCATTTGGCCTGGTAGATGATCCAGGATGTTCCTATGGTAATGTGAAAGGCTATTTGACCAGAAGAAGTGAATGAAATGTCTTTCGGTGCATGATGGAGGATGAAATGGTCGACGAAGACTGGGAAGTTGAGGATTCAGAAAACACCGATGACCTAGACTACAGGGTGTCAAGGATTACCGATGCCATCCGTGATGCTGCCTCCAGCACCGGAAGACGAGGGCTCGACCTGTCCCGTGGTGGACGCCGGCCTTAACAGCTATGAAGAGAGACCTCTACAAGGCACGGCGGTCTTACCAGAGGTGCAGATGCGACGAGAGGCGCACTGCACTTCGTAACGAGTATAAGTCCATGGCCAGGGTATACCGAAATGATGTTCGTTAACGAAAGCGGAAGTCTTGGGACGATTTTATCGTCGAAGAATCTTCAAAGAATCCTTGGGGTATTCCGTATAAGGTGGTTCTGGGCAAGTTGACTCCGCTACAAACTAAAGCGGCGATGAGGCATGAAGATGTCCATGCTACCACCTTAGAAGAGACCGCTGATTTCTTCGTCAAAGCGACTTACCCCAAGGACGACCCATCTCAAGACACCCAAGAGGAACATTTTGTGAGACATACCACGGTATACCCGCCAGGCACTGACTTTTGCTCACCATGGGACGCAGATGATATTCGTATTGCCGTGGGTAGGCAAAAGAATGGCTGCGCTCCAGGACTTGATGCTATAGATGCAGCGATCCTAAAGAACAGTATCTCCTATATTGAAGAGCGACTTTTAGGAATCTTTAATGATTGTTTAGATAGGGGATACCTCATGATGACCAGGTTACGGCCAGTTCTCAATCAAGCAAGCCATTCACGGCAATACGGCTCTACCAGAGGCAGAGGAACCGCTGATGCTCTGCTGAGAGTTCTCAGAGATGTTGAAGAAAGGGCGGAGCGATACGTCATGCTGCTCCTTTTTGATATATCCACCGCCTTTGATAATTTACGGTGGCCCTGCGTACTCCAGCAGCTGAAAAATATGACGCTCCCAGCAACCTATATGCCCTCGTAAGGAGCTTCAGTACAGGCGAGTGAAGATCAAAGGCAGCTATTACGAGGTAGAAGCTTCCGTAGAGAGGATATGCCCTCAGGGATCAGTACTTGGTCCTGCTCTATGGAAGCTGGTTTTTGATGAGTTGCTGGGAGTGCTTGAAAATGAGCGGTTCTCTGCCACTGCCTATGTTGACGATCTAGCTGCTGTGGTGGCATCCAACAGCAGGGCGGGGATCAAACTAGCAGCAGAGCGATGTGCCAACCTTGTAGCCAGATGGTGTGAGGGAAAGAAAATGCGTATGGCTGCTGAAAAGACGCAAGCCATCCTCTTGAAACGCACGACTGATAGAGCACACCCCATTAGCATGGATATAGAAGGTCAAATAATACGCCCAAGTGAGGTGGTAACATATCTTGGTGTAAGGTTAGGAAAAGGCCTAAATATAACACCTCACTTGGATTATCTAGCAACTAAGGTGACCCAAGCCTTGAACAGACTCAGTCGTGTTGGGGGTGCATTCTGGGGTCTCAGATACCCTGCAAAGATGACGATCTATAAAGGCGTTGTGCTGGGTATCTTGAGGTATGCATCTCCCTCCTGGTATCGGAACCTCACACAAACGACAGCGAAAAAGGTTGGCGTCGATCCAGAGGATGGCCCTGTTGCGTGTCACCAGAGCATTTAGGACAACGTCACATGAAGCAGTGCAGGTCCTAGCGGGGGCGGTACCTCTCGACCTCCTCCTGCGAGAAGATGTGACCAAGCATAAATTCAAGAAAGAAGGCTTGGCTGGAGTTCCAGAAAATCTACGGGTGAAGATTGTGGAAAGTCCCAACAAATGGAAGAAGATAATCCGGGAGGATACGATTGAGGAATGGAGCCGTCGGTGGGTTGCTACCTCGAAAGGGAGTACTCTCAGAAAATACTTCCCCACCGTACAGTCGCGGTTAGATGCACAATGGATCCTCCCGGACTATTGGATTTCACAGTTCCTCACGGGGCATGGGGGTTTTCGAGCTAAGCTACATGGCTTTGGCCAGGACAGAGATCTCCAATGCCCCACTTGTGGAGTTCTGGAGACTGTCGAGCAAGTGGTCACTGCCTGCACTGCATTTGAAGGAATAAGGGCAACGATGATGAGAACCGCAGGAATTTACGTACTAACAGAGGATGAACTCCTCAGTTGGTAAGTAAGGAGAACTTCCCTCGGTTCAAGAAATTCATTTATGACTGGAAGGAGCCAGTGGGTCCAGCCCACTTCAACATCGGAGCACGGAGAAGAGGACCACCACCAAGAAGACCACCGGAAGACGGACACCCTTGAAAGACGTCACCAAAGATAATATATTTTAAACTGTTTCACTTGCAGTAGTATGCTCTTATGCAGTCATGCATAACAGCCCACTATTGCAAACGCCCGTATGGCCCATCAGGCAAGGTAGGGTGGAATGTAAATAAATAAATAAATAATAAAAAATATTTTTAGATGAAAACATGAAAAAATCAAGTGGGTGGAATTTTTTATTTGTGTATTAAGTTTATACACAAATTAAAAAAAACAAAACTTTTTTCTATTTCATTCAAAAGATTTAATGAAAACTTTATTGTTTGTTGCAGATGGCAGGTTTAGTTGGCCAACAAATTGACATTTAATATAAATATGTTTTAAGATGTATATACATGTATCCATGAAAGAAATATTTGTTAACTATTTACAATAAACAGTACTTCACTTCTATTATTTTATATACCTTACACTTTTTTTTTCCTTTTAACATTCTTGATATAAATAAAACTATTTAATCAGCTAAAAAACAAAGTATATAAGTCAGGGGTGCACAGAAGAGGGTTTCATGGCTAAAGGTGCTCCATCAAAAATTTTGGTGTGGCATATTTTGACGGATTTTTTAATTTTTGATGGGGGCGAATTTTTATGGGTTATGAATTTTCGGACTAAAGGATGAGGAACTGACTGCAGCAAGTGTGACTGTACATGATCTACGATTTTTCTAATTTTATCTTGCTCTATTTTTAAGAAATGGTGAACAATAAAATATCTTGGCAGGAGGAGGGGATAGATTCCTGCGCCATTGACCTTGGAGGAGTCTAGGGGAGGGGGATAAGTCCCAGTATGATAGGTGTGCTTTACTCGTTCAGAACAATCGTCGAAAAAGCAGACATGGCGAAAATGTAAAATTATTATTTCTTTCGGATTTACTCGACATGCAACACATAATTCATTATCTGATAGCTCCCTCCATCTTGTGCATGGCTTCTTCTTTCACTCTTTGTTTCTTCAAGCTTACTTTTTGTTCTTTTTCGTTTAACCTTAACCACCATTTTTTAACAACAATTACTTTAATAAATCCTCCAATGCTTCTAAAAAAGGAGTGTCAACCATCATTATGAGCTCCGTTGTTCCTTTGTTGTTTGCATCTTTGTTTACAGAGTGCTGTAAAATTTGTTTGATATTTTAATTATTTGTAGCATATAAGTATGCAGATTTTATTCCGTCAAGCAAGACATTAACTGTCCGTCCTGGTATCTAAAATAAATAATATTTTTCCATTATATTAAGAAGTTTATACGGTCCAGACGTTTGACGCCATCGTATTTGATGAATACTTGTGTACACGTCTTGAGATCTTTGTGGACGAATGGTTTTATGGATGATGTTTTTGCTTGAGCTGGTCGAAGCTTGGAAATTTTATTTTTCAGTTCTTGGAGCGCTGTGTGTGGCTCGTAACTGTTTTTATTAATTTTAATGAATTCTTCTGGAATTGAACTATTCAATGAAAACAGTGAAAAATGTATATTCTGCCAACTGAAAATGTTCTCGGAAACTCCATGAACTCTACAAGGTATCAATAATACAGTTTGTCTAGTTTTTGGAGTTCTAAATATATATATATATATATATATATATATATATATATATATATGCATATATATAAAACAAAACAAACAAAAAACAACCCTGTACCACTACAACCCATGAAGGGTCTTGGATTCAGTACTATTTTAGGGAAAGCACTGTTTCTAGGTTAACAGTTGTGCAAGGATTTGACCGTATCAAATTAATAGTATTTGATCGAGATCACGCTCAACCGCCAGGTTTTCCCCCTTAATCAATTATTTAATTAAGGATACCCACTTTATAGAGGCTGGGTGTGCCTTAGGAGGGTCTCCCGACCCAGGGTCGCCCCACGGCCAATGAAACAGATAAATAAATTTTCTACCATGTTCCGGAGTTCGAACCTAGGACCTTTAGCACTGGAAGCTCAGTACCCTACCACTGAGCTACCCCACTCCCTCCATTTATATATATATATATATATATATATATATCTTTAGATACATTTAAATTTAAATAGATGTCGGGAGTTTTCTCTAACTCGCCCCAGTGTGCGGAGTATTGAGTTTTTCACACTGATTAAATGTTGTCTGAAACAGTGAGCTGCTCTATTCTTTTCAGCCCACGAATATGAATGCCTATGATTTCAGGTGAAGAGGAATTTAATTAAAAAAACATACAAAATTTATTATTTAATAATTTTATTCCATTAAAACAATACATTCTATATCAAAATGACTTTTTGGTAAAGATATTTTTTTCAGACTTATACAGGAACATTTTATAACAATGTTTTACTATTAACAACCATTTGCAATTCACTTCATTCTCTTCTGTATCCTGACATGGAGTCCGTCGATAGGATGGACAGTTATGAAAAAAGTTCTAGTGTCGAACACCAAAGGGTTTCTTGTCTTTGTTCCCGGTAATATTATGTATTCTGAAATTATTTTCGCTATTACAGTCTTCATCGAAATGTATGCAAACCGTTTCCCTGAAACATTTATAGTTGTATTATTAAATAAATTAATAGTATAATTATTAGCGTATTTAATACATTAGATATAACAACATGAATAATGCACTAATTTTAATGATTTTTATTTTGTGATTTAAATTAAAAATAAATCAAAATGTCATCTGTTTTGTACAATGCGGCAGAGAAAAAAAATTCTTAGACTGCATTATTTTATATCTCGAATTTGAATGATGAAACCAACATTTTTCTTTCTCATAAAAAAGTAGATCTAAGGAAATATACAAACATTAATAATTTTTATTTCAGTTCTGAATAATTTTCTAAAGCAACAAAATTATATATCAGTTTGGAGCTTGTTTGTCTTTTAAGTTCGTAGACTAACTGAAAAGAGCAGAGTTCCTCTTTTCGCCTATCTATGTCCCAGAGGTAAAGAACACTTATTCCAAATTTTAATTAAATAATTTAGTAAATAAGAAACAAATTTTAATAGTTCGAAGTTATCTAAAATCGGTTATCCTGAACAAATACAAAAATATGACTGGGTGTTCTTTACCTTCTGGGTACAGATATGTAACCAGTTATAAAATTAACTTAAAAGGCTTAACTAAAAAACTTCGATAACGAGATAACGGCAAAATAGAAGTTTTCAAAAACATAGAAATATTTCTCGCAAATTTATTTAATAAAAATTTTGTTTTTTAATCTTATGTATAAGAAAAAATCAACGCCCTCATACATAAAATACTCTTTAAATACTAACAAGATTCTAATCGAAATGTCATTTTGTATCAACTCGGAACCTGAAGTAAAAAATACTAACGTTTTTATATTTTATTCAATAATTTCTAAAAATCAATCTTTTTGGTGGTAGAAACATGACAATATTATTTTTCAAATTCGGGAAATTAATCTGCTTCGAAGTGTTTTGTATAACAGTCACTATGATAATTTTAATCAAAATCGGTAACGGACACACCATGCACTATCTTTGTAAGCCCATACTTTAAACATTATTTTAAAGTACATCATTAATAAATCATCAATAAAGTACATACGCTAGGAACTATTAATTTTCTCTAAGATTAAATATAATAAAAATATAATATAACAAGGAGGGAGGGGAGGGGGAGAAGGAGTACTAGCAACTTTTTTTTACAATAGAGACATAATATAAAACATCTTTACTCATATGATAGAATTAGCTCATGAATATTTCCTAGAAAACGGAATTTTAGTTTCTAACACCTTTCTAAATCGCTGTAAATTCAAATATTCTTTGACACTAAATATTTATTTGTTTGCGATTTCAAATGAATTTGTATTTATTTATATAAAATTACATTAACTTCTAGTTTCAAAATCATAGCAAATAACAGTAATTATTTTATTTCAATTTAAAAATGAGTTCCTCACCTATACACAGTCTTGGCCCTTTACCGAATGACATGAAAAGAGCTGATGGTGTTTTTTCTTCGGTGAATCTTTCCGGTAAGAATTTATCTGGCTCTGGGAAATATTCTGGATCTGTATGAATAGAATAAGCAGGTATGCTGATGTCCATGCCCTTGGGTATGGTCAACTTGTCATTAATCTTATACGTTTGTGTACAAGTTCTCTTTAAAATTCCCAGCAACGGATACAAACGTAACGTTTCTGTAAACAATTTACAAAAATAAAATATTTGAAAATTCGACTCAACCAAGACAAATCCCAATACATCACTTTCACTCTTCGAGATGAAACATCCCCTTCTATTTATCTTGACAATGCCCGAATTCTTCAAACAGAGTATAATACCTTGGACTGACTTTTGACAGAAAAATGACATGGGTTCCACATATCAACAAAAAAAAGAAAAAAAAGAAAAGAAAAACGTTAAACCTCAGACCACGACTGTTATACTCACTTCTTTCAAGACGTTCAAAATTAAAACTAAAACAAAAACTGATTACTTACATCTATCTACTTAAGTCCATATGAACCTATCCTCCACAGATATATGGAACACCCAAATACGAAAACTACAAACTCAAAAAACATTCAGTACTGTGACTAAAGCTCTATTACAAAAATTACTTTATTTAAAAATCTTTTTATGGCAGTAAATGACCACATACAAACAGACTACAAAAGATTTCAGGATAACTAACATGACTATACAGCCACAATTATACAAGATATAGGTACAATTAACATGTTAGAAAACACGTTTAGGAAGCTAAAACAAGAGAGATCTCCTCGCTTAAAAAGTATACTAAAATCAAGGTAGGAAAGGGTGCTGCTGGGCATTAAAATTTGGGAAGTATAAAAAAAAGTTTTAAACAGTATAAATAACTTCGACTGTAGCAATATATACACGAAAAAAAAAACAGAAAAAAAATCTTCTTTGAATTGTAGAATACGAAATTATTCTTAAATTAAATTTCAAGGCTGGGTAGCGTCTTTTTGGGAAGTCGAAAGCTTTAAGAAAATGGGGAGATTTGAATGAAGAAAGGAAAGAGCATGGCGATTATTAGATGGTAGGGAATTCCAGACGCTGTGGAGCGGACAAGAAAAGAACATTTTTAGGTTTCAGTTCTATGAAAAGGGGCATGGATTTCAGAAACAAATGATTTTGTTTTTTAAGAATGGACTAAAGATTTTAATAATAGAAGACCGTAGATATAGGAGTTTGATAGTTTTGTATAAGAAGGATCCTTTTACCTTAATTTAATCAAGATAGCCAAGGCACTATACATACACACACACACAAACACACACAATTAATAAATAATCAACAAATAAAATTTTATAATATAGTACCGTTAATAACTCCATCTAGGTAATTCATCTGCCTTATAGAATCGTAAGTAACAGTATCTTTGCCTTTGAGGACACTGTCAACTTCTGTTCGAAGTTTCTCCTGGATCTGGGGGTGAAGACTTAACTGATAAATAACGTGGCTCAAAGTAGTCATCGTCGTGTGATGGCCTGCTATTAAAAACGAGAACACGTGGCCGACAGCTTCATTGTATTCTATTCCTTTAACGAATAAGAAGTAATATTAATACATAATGATTTTCTTTAAATAAATGTTTACTAACATATTTGTATTACTAAGTAATATAAATAATAACAGTGAAATAAGACAGGTTATAATAACTTACAATTTTATATCAAATCCGCCAATCGACCTCCTTCATGGCATCAATAAATACTATATTGTATATTATAATAGGACTTATAATAGGATATTCGACAAAATAAATATTTTCATTTCGTTTCAGTAAAATTAATATAGCACTGAATGAAGGAGGCGGATTGGCGAATTTGCATGGCCCATGGTCTTTCGAATCGGAACAAATACCTTAAATTTCGTTTAAACTTTTATACACTTTATTTAATAATTTTTTATACATTTGATGTAAATATTTGCTATTTTTTTTATTTCAATTTCGGGATCTGGGAGGCTAACCATTTGGGAGGTTAAGAATTTATAATGATTGAGTACACAAAATTTATTGAAATAATTAAATTTAGTCTGTTAATAATCAACTGTATTAGAGCAATATTGAATGAAGTAAAATTCAAATATTAGATAATATAAAACAGTGTAGGATATAAATTTAATTTATTTTAGGGAGAAGATGACGTCACTGTCAGTCAGAGATGGGCAAATACTACTTTGTAGAGTACTGAATACCAAGTATTTTACTCCAATCCATTTAAATTCATTATTTCTAATTATTATTGTTATTTTTTATTTAAAATAATCAAAATATGCAATCATCTGCATTTATTATCAAATATGCCATATAAAATTTGCATCTGGGTAAACTGATTCGTACAGGTGTTCGATCAACAGTTGAAAAACTGCATGTAAACAAAATATGCAATTGCATGAAAATCCGAGTCTTGTTTATAATGACCAACATGACTATTGATGTTATAAACATTTTTTCTATTCTCACAGAAACAATGCCAAAAGAAATAATTGCATAATTACAATGCAATCAACAAGTTCCTTTCCGAGGAACATGCTACGCTTCTAGATTATAAAAATCACTCCGAGCGTTGGTTTCAGATAAACTATGATGAACTCAGATAAATGAAAATCCTTCGATTAATGTTATCAATAAAAGAGTGGATACAACGTGATACAAATATTATAATAATAAAAAGAGTTATAAAAAAATAATTAATCACAAAGAATTGAATGGAATTCAAGAGAGGGAATTGACCCAGATAGTTTTAAGTGAACTTAAATCAATACATTTGCAAATAAGTTGGAATATTTGGTTTTTTATCACTAACCTAGTTTATATTCTACATCATATCAATCAAAGATTAACTTTAATGTGGTTTGGTTCGTGTTTTCGGGAAAAACTTTGTATGTATTTTCTTATTCCGAATCGAATGAAACAAAAAGTAAATCGATAGTTTAAGGTGTTTTTGTTATTTTGAGAATATTATGTTTTAAGTTATTGATAAATTCTGAATAAAAATTAATTTGATAATTGAGGTCAACATTATCGGGCAAAAATTATGAAGAATAGAAAGATTGAAATAAAAACTGACTTCATAAATTTTTTTATTTTTTGTTTATTTATATGATATTTGCAACTGTATACAAAAAATAGATCTGGTGAATTCGCACATGGATATAATGACATGAAACACATGTTGAGAAACTACCCATTGGTAGCATAAATTTTTTTTTTTTTTTAAATATATAGATAAATAATATGTAACTTATGGTTCAAGCATAAATATTATTATTTTTTTTAAATCGATATTATCAGTCGAAACATTATCTTAATTTTAAAATTGTTGTGTTTTATGATGTTTCTACCTAATTATCTCTGAAAATTATTTTTATAAAAAAAAAGAAAAAGATTTAAGCTGTGTTGAGAATTGTGGGTTTACCTTTATTACTACCATATTTACTTTACTTTTTTTTTTTTTTTTAATCTATTACATTTCAATAAAATTTAGATTGGGAACTAAGGCGGTTGTGGAGAGGATAGTTGAAGGTTTAAACTTCTCAAATAATCTTAAAACGTAAACAGTTATTAGATTTTTTGAATCGATTTAAAACCGTAAAAATTAATATAAAACATTTTACTAAAAGGGCTGCTAGGTCCAAGGTGCTGAGGAATGGTAGTAGTACCTATACCACTACAACCCATGAAGGGTCTGGGGTTCAGTACTATTTAGGGAAAGCACTGTTTCTAGGTCAACGGTTGTGCAAGGAGGTAATTTGACCAAGATCACGCTCAACCGCCATGGTAGTAGTACATCCCCTCAAAACCAGGGGAGAAGCTCAGAGGCCTGAGAAACTGTAAGTGAAGACCTCGAGGACGCTACTGCCAAGACCGTCCGTACGCGGTGAAGAGCTGGATCTAGACAGGGAGGTCTATAAATATCCCTGGTAGCAGGTAGCATGGAGTTGAGCTATGGGGCTCCACTAAACCATCGAATTCCTCTCGTATCCAATCCTTACAATCCAAAATCCTTCGTAAAATCCTTAATGTTCCCTACTTTGTTGCAAATAAAACCATCCATAATGACCTTAATGTTTCAGAACTGGCCCGATCCAGATACCTATCCTTCCATAATAAACTTCAGAATCATCATAACCCTCTAGTTTCTAACCTTGCTTCCTCTTCATTTCAACCCTTCGAGGCGTCTGAAAAGAAGATGGCCCCGTGATCTCCTAACGTAGACATATCATTAGAGTGCTAACATTGGGTAGTTTCTCGACAAGTGTTTTCACGTCATTATATATACAGTTGTAAATATCATTAAGAAATAAAAAATTCATGAAAGATTTCTATTTGTTAGAGAATGAAAGACATTTTACGTAATTATAACAATGAAACCCAATGAACTATAAATTTAATTTTTTAAATATTTATTTGTCCATAAGTGAGACATTTCAAAGACAAAATCAATGACTTCTTCCTTATTAAGACCTGAAGATATTTATTTAAAATATATGTAAATACCGTATTTTTTTTTTTTTTTGTAAAATCACTGAAAATTGCTCATTAATTTGTGTTTTAAGGGCTAAATAATTTGCTATTTGATAAATTGATTTGTACCATTCATCTTCGGGATCCCAAGGGACGCCTCTGTATCCCGTTTTTATGCAGAGTTGAAGTGGCTTTATCCTTCCTACCGTCGTAAATATTTCCTCTTTCAAGTCATCCAATCCCACCGTCCTTCATACATCTCCAAGCTTCTTCAGTTCAAATCCTCTGTTCGTTCCCACAATACCCATTCCCGGTCTTCTGATTTACACATAAGGGCCCATCGAACCGCTCGTTATCCGATCTTCATCCCTTTGGAACTCCATCCGCTCTCACATTCGTCAATCCAATACCTTTCCTACCATTAAATTCCGCCTGTTCAATCATTTCTTATCCATCCAGTCCCCATGAAGTTGTATATGGATACTATAATATAAATATATATATATAAATTATTAGTTCATTCTTCATTAATTTTACTTCATCCGTTTTTTTTATTATTAATTTTTATTAATAACTGTTTAAAATAAGAAAGTAACTTATACTTTTGCATTTTTTTACAATGACTGTTTAATTACTCTGTATTTTTATTTATGTATCTCTGAGGCTCCTTAGCCCATAGTCTTTCTGTATTATTCTAAAGGGATTCGTCCCAGAATATATAAAATATTATTAGTATAATTTTTTTATATTATTAGTATTATTATTATTATTAAATAGGAGAAACTGGAGAAAATAGTTATTGGCCTACGTTTTAGGGATGTTAAGGAAAGATAATATAGTAGGAAAAGTCTGATTGGAATACTTTATACTTATTTTAAGATTTTATCAGTGTGCGTCGTATTCTATATCTAATGTGTTTTATTTAAACATAAGTTATGCATGTTTAGATTGATTTGCCATTGAAGTAATTATAATCGAAACGTTTGAAACTGCTAAATTCCGTGAATTAATTGACAGCAAATAATATTTTTTAAATATATAATTAGCTAATAATACTCACTCTCAGATTCTAGAAGTCCTTCTTTTTGCATTTTTGCAATCAGAGCGACCAAATCATCACGATCACCTTTGTCATTTCTCGAATGCAAGAGTTCATTGGTGAAATTAGAAAAATAGTTCCAAAATATACTGGGAAAGGCCGATATTCTCAATTTTTGATAGAGACTTGGAAAAACTATGAAGAAAAGAAATCGGCGTACACTAGATCCAGGAGGACGGGCGAAGATTTCAGATAATTCCGATAACTTGGAATGTCTTTCTCGATTCTGAGACGAATCAATACTGTACATGAAGGAAGTGAGTATTTTTAATATATGTCGCTCCATTATCCCCATCAGCTCAACCTCATCCTTCGACTTGCGCTGTTCTTCGACCTCTACCAACAAAGAATCGTGGTGTTCCTCCAATATGTTCGATAGTTCCCTCTGTTTTTTCGGACTGAATAGTTTTGAAAATATCTGCCGTTTTGCTTTCCATCGTGCTCCTTTCATGTCGAATAAGGAATCCAAAATAGCATCGGTTTCTGTTTCAGTAGTGAAATTCGGATGGTCGGTGAAGTGATTGAAATCGGTTTCAGTAATAGCTTTGATCAGTTCTGGATCGATAACGAACAATGTCGGCTTCCAGAAGTTGTAATACCCTATGTAGGGCTCGTTCTTGTATTCTTTGTACCAGCCGTTCATCATGTCCGGCTCCGAGAACTTGAGGCTGATGATGTGTTTCATGTTGCCCACAACCATTGTTGGTTCTGGACCGGCGACTCCAAGCATCTTCCAGTAAGTGTACCGTCTCTTCAAAAATATGTACGCTGCTACAAACACGAGGCATATTAAGGATGTTATGAGCCCCAACATGATGATCTGTAAAATATCATAGAAAGTATTAATATTTAAAAAAAAAATTAAACGGATTAATATAATGATGCCTCATAATCATTAAATTAATGCGTTTAAATAATACTTATATTTTACAGCGTTAAGTAAATTATATGTCTATATAATTTAACTACATATAGTTCGAAACAACCATCAGAGATCCTCAGCACAACAATAGTAGGCCACTTATCAGGTAGAAGAGAATGGAGAGATGGAATCAACAAAGATGTCGGAGCTGGAAAGCATGATGCAGCATGTAGAGCTGCATGCTGGAAAATAAAAACCCAAGACAGGTAGAAATGGAACAGGCCAGTCAAGTTGGCGAAATATTTACAAGAGTCAACAGGAAAACAAATGTAGCGTTTATGGTCCGAATAAACAGAACTTAGAGAGTCGATTGGTTTGAGAATAAATTTCGATAGGAATTACGAGACTTTGACTAAGCTCACGATTTATTGACGATTAAAATCTAAAGCTTACTCTGGTTACTAAAGCTAACTTATGGTTTGAGGGCATTTAAGGAACGCATGTATAGAAATAAAAAAGCTGGATAAAACCAGAGAAACGCCTGACCTCATGTTTTGAAAATAAATGTTAACAAAATTATTCTTTAGATTTCAAAATATTTTAACTAGTTTACAAATTCTTTTTATTTTATAAGTGGGGGAGATTTTTGTGAATAATTTACAAGTGATACATCGGTTTATCGACTACGGAAGGCATAGAGAGGCTCAGTGATGGATTATAGAAATTAATAAATAGTAATTAAAGCACAAACAGTTTCTGTCTCTTAAAGGTATTGAAATCCAAAAAAATATTGAAATTTAAGATTCCTTAAAAAGGTAAGTTAAATTGTTATTTGTTTATTTAGGAGAAAAGAAACGTAGACTTTTTTTTTATCCCAGTAACTATCTTTCTTCAGTAGCCTTTTCCTTCGAGATATCAGAAGCGATTCATAAGGAAAACCAGGCTCTAGAATTCATAGAAATCTGATAATCATTATCTGGAAATGATTAAATTAGATTTACTTCACCATTTTTAAAAACTGTAATTTTGAAGTAAAAATTTGGAAACGATAGCTATCCTAAATTTGACTATGTAATACGATCCTATTTCTATAGTATAGCTATAATAATATATCTCATCTTTAAATTATTTTTTTTATAGCCCCGTAACGACGGGATCATGACTTTTTCGAGAGAAAGATGTTTTTGTTAGGTTTTCATTTGGAGGAGCATTTAAATCTGAGAACAAGGAAAACAATATGGAATGGACTATAAAAATGTATTGTATATAATTTACAACTTGAGTTATAAATTACACTGTTCCATATTGATATTGTATCTCACTTGAAAACATTCTCATTCCACGTTTTTTGGTGTGAGAAATTCGGATTACACATAAAAATCATCAGTTAGCTCTAGTTTTAAAGATATATTTACTTTTTGAGTAATATGAGAAAAGTTATTCTTGATGTGATTTTTCTTGCTACAGACATCCTTTCAACGATTTTATCGTGATATTCCGGTAGTTTTGGTGAAATTACGATGCCCAGGAAGTGTGTGAATGCTCCTAACAACTTTTGTTACATTTGTGGGGAAGAAACATTTGCAAGTCAAAACATCTTGTCATCCAGATGATCAAGACAGCATACCACAAGTACTTTGGGGTGAAAGTTTGTGACCAAGATAAACTGTGGGTATCGCATATCTGCTGCATCACATGTAGCACAACCTTCTTAAAAGAATGGTTGAACAAGAAAGGACGTTCAATGCGTTTTGCTGTTCCCATGGCGTGGAGGGAGTCTACTAATCACACTGACAACTGCTACTTTTACATGACCTCTTCATCATGAAATGTCTCGAAAAATAAATCTGAAATGAAGTACTCTGACATTCCTTCTGCTATACGATCAATACCACACGGGGACGAATTGTCTGTTCCAAGGCCTCCTGAACTCTTTTACTTGAATGAGGACGAGGATAACAAAGACAAAAATTCCCTAGGAGGAATCCCATCAGATGATTCTGATCTTTATTTCGAACAAGAAGACCAAAAAATCCCCTTGTCTACTCAAGCTGAACTCAGTGACTTGATTCGGCGCCTGGATCTGCCCAAAGAGAAAGCTGAACTTTTGGGTTCAAGATTGAAGCAATGGAACTTCTTACAACCTGGTGTAAAGATTACAATGTACAGAAATCGTCAGAAAGACTTGATCCCCTTTTTCAAAAAATATGAGAACCTTTTTGCCTGTATGACTGCATTAAATCTCAATCACAACTCTTCTGAATGGAAGCTGTTCATAGATTCTTTAAAGCTCTCGCTCGAAGCAGTTCTGTTGCACAATGGCAATTTACTTCCCTCTGTCCCTATTGATCATGCTGTTCACATAAAGGAAACTTATCAAAACATAGAAACCATTTTAAAATCCATCACATACAAAGGCTACCAATGGAAAATCTGTGGGGACCTTAAAGTGGAGGCAATTCTTTTAGGTATGCAACAGGGATATGGTAAGTTTTTTTTTTCTTTTTCTTCCCGATCTCGCCTTTTAGACTATACGGGATTTTCCCGGGCCGGAGGGTGATGGCGGAGAATTTAAAATTCCATCCGTCACCGGGACGCGAACTCGTAATGTTAAAATAAAATTTAAAATCTTCCATATAGTATCATTCAGGTTTCCATTTGGTTTCCATGGAAAAATTTAGTTCTATTAAATTATATAAAATGGTCTATCATTAAATACCACAGTTGTTAGTTTTTACCCTTATGTGATTGTCCATTAATAATTAAGTTGTAGTTTGTTACAGGATAAGTTGAAATTCATTTCGAATTGAGTTTAAAATAGTAAAAATATTTGTTTCTATTCTTAATTTTACCGTACTAATAATATTTTTACTCAATTAGAGATAATGTAAACTCAACATAATTAATATAGACTTAAAGCTCATCGAACAAGTAAGTTTTTATGAAAGTGTGGTATCTTCTGACCAGTTGGAGGGTTATAAAAAAAACCTCGGAGAATCCTTGATTTTATGAAAAACCAAACTTACCGAAGTTTAACTACTTAAAAGTTCTTGCATTTAATGAAACTTTTATTTAGTTTAATATGAAGTGAACGGTTTTAACCTAAATTAAACATTTGTTTAGTTATTGCTTTTTATTCAACGTAAAACGTGGTTTATGTTTATTACAATACAATGTTAAAATACAATGTTAAAGTTTTTTTTTTTTAAATAAGTGTTAATGTCTTCTATCACATATTATCAATTGCATGAAACTAATGTCAATCTAAACTTCATATCATTATTATGAAATTCCGCATAGATTGATATTGAATGTAATTACGTGGTCAATGACTGATTGTAATTTGCTTTGTCTGATCGTCATTTGTATCATCACCTAAAAATGTTACAATTGGTTTATGATAGCTAAAATATGTGATGAATAATTTTGATTGAAATATATTAGAGCTTAAAAAAAGTATACCAAGTACGGTCATTACCTTCCTCACCGTTTTCATTGGCTAAAATATTTGAGTGATTGACAAACTGATTGAACTTCAAAGGAAATAAACACAATCACAAATAAGACGTTGTTTTTTCTACAAACTCAAGAGTATAAATTACTTCAAATGTATTGAAAATTATATGAGATCTAAGTAACGGTAGTAAGCGTCATGCCAGTAACGTTTGGAATCGAACAAACGATACAGTATCAATTAATTTTTTGAATAAAAGCAAAAATTTTATAACCCTATAATAATATTGTAATAACCTAACTCCCACTACATATGATCAGTGCCTTCAACCTTTTGCAGGCATTATATTGTTAACGATTATTTATATTAATTTTGATTATGTGATGGAATTAAATGAAATTGATAATAAGTAATTTCTATACTGTTCTCTAAATTTCCTCAAAGTTTGGGTAAATTGAATACTAGGTGATATGGCCATCACATCGATTTGACTACAGACAGACAGACACCGAACCAAATTTGATCCTTGATATCTGAAACGTAAAGCACGAGTGAATATTTTCGATTCTGAGCACAAAATTGTTGTTAACCTCGCACGAATACAATGTTTCCCTACCTTCGGTAGTGAGGAAGCAAAAATTATCTACGTTGACTTCTGCAAAGCAGTTTCTGAATTCTCTATGGTACTTAAATTTTGAGATATTTTAGTTCCAATGTTCCAAACAGTCGTTATTTGATTTTTTGAAGCTATCTTTTTCTCTTTCCAAATCTCTGACTCGGCGTCACCTCAAAATACAATTTTATTTTAAAGATCATTACAAAGAGAATGAAATGCTGAACATTTCCCTCGCATACAGTATGCAGGTCCGATTAGTTTCTGAGATATTTTATTCCCATTGCAAAAACACTTGAATTAGTCGACTCGAGCCGACTTTACCCGAATGAGCGTTACACATCCGAACCTGACGGTTCAATCTAATTCACTGATCACAAAAAGTGTTAATCGCGATTTAAGAAGTATTCACTTCATTAATGAATAAATTAACTGGCTCCTGCAGTGTGATGGAAATAGATTTTTGTTTATATTCTGCGTCAAAAGTTATTAAACCTTCCTCATGGAATATTATAAAAATATTTGTTATTATATATTCTGATTCATAGAAATTTACAAAACTCACCTGTAATTCTTGAACCTCTTGCAGCTTGATGGTACACGGAATCAAACTGCACAATAATCGAAGGAGTGGGGAAGAAGTCGCTGCTTTAGAAGGAAAAGTGCGTGATGTTTCTCGTCGATTGGTGGAGTCCAGAACGTCGACGTCACTGATCGCTGAGGGGTAGGAGTAAGGCAAAATGTTTTAAGTGTCGTTTACCTGTACTGCACTATGTTACTTTTACTTACCCATATTTGTAATATATGGTAATGGAAAGTATTGCGATCGTGAACATTTTTGAATCGGAGTTTTATATTAATATACACGTTTTGAGGTCCGTTGAGTCTAAATAATCGAGTCCCTCAAAATGGTCTGTGTGTCTGTGGATAGTTTAGCTCAAAAATGAAAAGTCGCACTGATATAACGTATTAAGGTTTGTGTATGGTTCAGAAGTGACAGCAACTTTTTCGTTAAAACCGGCTAACCGGAAGTACCGACAAAAGATCCTCGCCGCAGGCTTTACCCCAACTTCAACCCATCTCAGACTCTCCACAGACCGCTTTACTTCATTCGCCTACTCCGTCCATTATATTTCATAATTATATTTATATCCATTATATTTCATAATTTCTAGACAAAATTTATTTTAAATGAAAGAAGAATTGGTTCTGCTTAAACTATTAAAAGAAGACTTTTGAAAGGCTAAACTGTGCTAAGTTCGGTTTTTATACCCAGCCGACATACGGCTTAATCTAATTTACTCAAATCTAATTTTACAAAAAGTGTAAAACGTGCCTAAAGAATTTTCCACTTCAAAAATTGCTACAAGTTAGAATATTATACCTTGATATTATATTTTAAAATGTGAGCAAATACACCCAGGTACAGATACATACAGGAAGTATAAGTATAAATAACAGCGAGGCAATCAAGTCTATACCTCGAGGTCTCATACGACTTTGGGCTTCAGAACATTCGAATTGATAAAAAAAATCTGGTGCGCGCAACACACAACTTTCACTTACCGATCTACTATGAATAGAAATTATTTTCTAGCAATGCTGGGCTATTATAAAATTTTTTGAAGGGCATTTTAAACGGAGCTAAACCTTAAAGCTTACAGATAACAAGTCATTAAGACTATTATAATTACAAAATGTCTATTTAATATATCGACGACAGGCAATAAAAATCTAGTCACTCCATTTGTTTTTATAAACCACACAACTTTCTTTGCTTTTATAAACCACAAAATGACTAACTCCAATTTTAACATTTTTGAGTGGTGTCATTTTAGTGATATTTTTATTTGAAAAAGTTATCTATGCAGACAATGAGTAAGTTGATTCCGGAGGTGGTGATTGCAGTGTTGAAATATAGAACTAAGAATAAAGGTATAAATTTAGGTACTTATTTCTTATGAAAAATGTTCTTAGGAAAGATACTTTATTACATATCTGTAGAAAAAAGGTTTTTTTAGTCTCAACAATTAAATATATTTTAAGTACATATTTAAGTATATTTTAAATTTTCGCCTCTTCAGGGAAAAAAACTAGAGACCATATCTTTCCTCCTAACATACAAACACACAGACCATTTTTCGGGACTTAGTCATATCGACTCAGGGTATCTCAAAACGTGTATTTCCGGTGAAAACTCAGATTCAAAAATTTTCTCAATCGCAATACTTACCCTTACTATATATTACATATATGCGTAAGTGAAAGTAAAAATAAGGTATGAGATTTAGACAACACGATAGATATGAAAATATCAACTTTGCAATATTAATAAGATAAAAAATAAATTATAAATAATAGCTCATTATGAATAGAATGAAATGCTGGAAATTTCACTTGCTTACATTATGCAGATCCGATTTTTAGTTTTGAGATAATTTAATCCATATCTTCCATAAAACTTGTCATCATTTGGTTTTCGACACTATTTTTTCCTTTCATCCTCCCTCGTTAAGATACAATTTTGAATAATAGCTCATTACAAAGATAATGAAATGATATATTTATTTATTTAGAATGATGACTTACGAGTTTTTAGTATTTAATTAAATATACAAAGTTTGCCGACATCCAGATTGAAATCAATCCGAGAGTTTTCGTAAATAAAATATTTTTTGGTTACGACGAAATGTAGCTATTTACATAGTTTCAGACGAATGTTAATAATTTGATAAAAAGGTGTCTGTAACACGAACTATAACGCCATGTCCCGCCAGGCTGTCGTTCACCTCGCCTTCTATTTTATCTTTGGTCTTCCTCGTCTCCTTCTTCCTTCTACTTTCATTTCCATTCTTGTCTTTGGAAATCTTTCTGGAGACATTATTTTAACATGCCCGGACCAGTTTTCCCCCCCACAATATTTGCAAGTATAACCCTTTTCTCTTCCATCTGTTCCAGAATGCTTTCATTCATTTGATTCTTTCTCTTCTGGATTTTCTTGCTGACCTTCCTTGACATTAGCCGACGCCTGGCATTAATGACCCATGTCTCGCAGCGGTGCTTTATTATAGGCTCGAACATAGTTTTGTATATTAATCCTTTGTAATAGACGTTGAGCATCACAGTGTATTTTCTTCCTTTTCCGATTTTCCTTTCGATATCAAGAGTGCATATGTTTTCATTATTGAAGACTTGGCAGAGGTATTTCAACTTCTCCTATGTTTTAAAACATTTCTCAATGGGCCTTTTATCTGGTTCGTAATCGTAATTCTTATATAACACCATTTTCCATCCATTTTGAAAATTGAGGGTCGAAGAGAGTGTAAATAGAATAAATCTTATACCGCTCAGCAGATTAGCCTGTAAAAAAAAACAAGTATGTGTTTTACTTTTAATAAACAGTGTATAAAATAGAGTGCGTGAAATTATTCCGTTCATGAAAATAAAGTTTTTAACGGATATACTTGTTAATGGCAACCCTGAGTCCAAATAACAAACGTCAAAAAAATAAAAAAGAGTGCAATACTGAAATTAAGTATTTAAGGTAATATAATATAGTACAGTATAACTTTTTTGTTAAAATAGATTAACTAGAGATGCCACTTTCTTTTGTAGATTTTACACTTTTTTACTATTTTATTGAAAACGGCTCTAATGATTTTAATTAAACGCGTCGCATAAATTCACCATGTAATAGATTTTAATATCAGCCATATTTTCACTTACACGTTAAATTATCATTATCATTACCCAATAATGTACAAACATTTGAATCTCGCAATAATGTCAGTATGAGTGTCAGTATTTGTGCATCTCGTGTGTGTATGAGAAAAATATATTTTAAAAACAAAATTACGTACAACATAATATTCCACTTTTTTTTTTTTTTTATCATAGATCTTGTTTTCTTTTCTTTTAATTGTTTATTGTATTATCGCAGTTCAAGGTCTTGCAATTCTACAGATTACATAACATTTAAAGGCCTGTATCGTTATAATCATTTCTGTTTATGATTTCTAATTAATATTAGATTATCGAGCTCTGCCTTTTTATTTTATATTTTTTAACTTATTTATTTTTTATTTCTCTTCTTACGCCTGTTAGAAATACTGACAACTAGTGAGCTTGCTGTTATCAAATAAGAAATTAATAGATGTTAGGGAGAGGAGTTCCCAGCGGCATCCCTTCCTGTCTTTTTAAAAATATTTATAGTTAAGCGACGAGATCTTTCGCCCAACTTCTTTTGAGCTTCTTCCAGGTATTATCGGGCATGTCGATTTTGAGCACACCTTTATGTATGTCGGTGTTTTTGTCTGTATTGCTTCATCTTGCTTCATTCTTTTCTTCTTGAGTCATTCTTGCTTCACAGGAATCGGTTTTACCCCGGCTGAGATTTCCCTCACCTTTGCACCTGCCACGTTTGATCTTTGAGTGAAATGATCGAAAGCTTTGACAAACTTTCCAGAGGATGAAAAAGGTATTGCTAGGTAAGTGTAGGATTTGGTGTATTCCAGTTCCTTATCATGCCAGAAAAGGGGTTTCAGTTTTTTCATCCGTGGTTATTTATGAAAGACCGGAGTTTTTGACTTCACCGGGTTAAGTATGAGAGAGTATTGGCAGCAGTAACTTTCTAGTAGTTTGAGTTTCTTATGGGCACTATGCCACGAAGTACTGAGCATCACGATATCATCCGCTAGCAGCAGCATTGTCACCTCATTTAAGCTATCGATTGGAATTCCTATGGCACCGTTATTTTTGAAAAATTGTATTATGTCTGCTATAAAACAAATAAAAAGAATTGGGCTCAAACTATCTCCCTGCAATAGACCAGAATTGATATCGATTTCCTCTGATAGTTCATAACCAATTTTAATACACATTGAGGCATTGTCATATAGTCTTTAAAATTCTTATTATATTCCCACTGATGCCAAAATCATACATCTTTTGCCATAGAAGCTCCTGATTTATAGAGTCGAATGCTTTCTTAAAATCGACAAATGTAGCATAAACATAATTTCCTTTTTTTTTAAGGTTCGCACTTACTATGGCTGTTAGTGAGAAAATGTGATCAACACATCCATCCCCTACCCACTCTAAAACCTGCCTTTTCTTCGGAAATCAGTTCCTCACTTTCAGCCCAGTTCAGAATTCGGCGGGCCAGTATGGCTGTAAATAGCTTCGTTATTGTATTTATTAACGAAATTTCCATGTAATTGTCCATATCTTTTCTATCACCTTTTTTGTGTAATAAGCTAAGTTTTGACTTTGACCAAGCATCTGGAGGTTTTTCAGTATCCATTATGTTATTGAATAGATTCAGCATATAATGTTCCCATTCCGGTGTTAGATTTTTAAAAACTTCATATGTGATTTTATCAAATCCAGGTGATTTAATAAAATTAGTAAATATGATAAAAAACGATACAGACGATTACTCATTGGTAGCTCATAAATATGAATCGGTTCTCGTACTGGCACTACTATTTGGAAAATTAAGTGGGCTTTGTGGCGCTCTCTGCCAACGCCTGAAGGTTTTGCCGCCGCGTCTTAACTGGACTGGGAGTCTCAAGACTAGGGGTTGAAACGCTTATGTTACTTTTTAAAAAAGTTCCTTTTTGGTATCCTCTGCGAAGCTTTTTAAGGAAAGTTTTAAGAAAATTATATTTATTTGTTTCATTATTTAAGAATGAAATGAAATGTAGCAGTAAATATGCCATAATTCGAACGAAGGATGTTAATAACGATGCCATTTGCAAATGTTTAACAAAACACAATGTAGGATGGAAATGACATGAGCATCTTTATGAAATTACGAAAAGTCTTTAACCAGTTGGCAATATAATGGGGCTTAATATTTGTATTCAGCGCAATTTTCTTTCGAATGGACTTGTAATTATTTACACGCATGTCCTTCTATAGATACCTGCAAAAACCTGTTATCGACACGATAAAATTTTTTCTGTTGTGCAACATAATTGTTTCTGAAATTACCTGAGAGCTACGAAATACAACCAAAAGCACTTTCATTTGTTATAAAAGTAGTGGAAATTCGATAGGTCTTCAAATAGAATTTATGTTTTTTTATTTTGTTGTTTTGTAGGTAACAAGCAACGCGGCCTATGAACCAAATATGACACCTTCTGCGGACTGGAAGATATTTTTTTTTTTTTGTATCCTTCTCTTTCCCGCCTTTTTAGGTTATACGGGTTATTCTCGGGGTAAGGGGTGAGGGTATCGGGTTAATGTCAAAGAGTTACAAGTCCGGTCTCCGGTACCGGTACGCTAACTCATAATTATAAACGATAAATAATTATTTTATCATATATCTTCAGTTATCAGGTTGCCGGGCAACGCTGTGCTATGCTCAATCACACACTCCTTGTGGATTGGTAGCTGCTCATTATCAAAACGTTATTTTTCTATGACTGTTGCACCAAAACACCTCTGACGATTTGACGAAACTTGGCTATAGCCTCATACTTAAAGACCACTTAATACTCATATGTAACACTGACAATATATATTACAACCTATTCTGATGACAGGTGTATTCCATCAATTACATCCCAGACTTATCAATCACACATCACAAGTCTTGAAAAATGGTGTAAAAACTGGAGGATTAAAATAAATTCCGATCAAATTACCTTTACAATTCGTCGTAAACATATGACTTCCTGTCCTACAGTATCCTTTAACAATACACCACTTATCCCTGTTGAACAAATTCGATACATAGGTCTCCACCTGGACAAACGACTAACTTGGAATCCTCATACCAGACTGAAACGACTAGAAACTGCTCGATGTTTTCGACTACTACAGCACTTACAAGACAAACGCTCTAAACATCCAATTATTTACAAAAGACTCATACATACTACTATAATAATACATATCAGGACTTACAGTATCGAGCATTGGGGCTCTAATCCTTACAATCCAAAATCCTCAATGCACCTTACTTTCTCACAAATAAAATCATCCATAACGACCTTAATGTACTACATGTTTTCAATTTAGCTCATTCTAGATTCATGTCCTTCCATAATAAACTTCTTAACCATCCGAACTCTCTTGTTTCTAACCTGGCTTCCTCTTCTATTCCTGATAATTCTCTGAGGCGTCTAAAAAGAAGATAGCCTCCGGACCTTCGAATATATAACTATAATTGGAGTGCTATCAATGGATAGTTTCTCTTCATGTTGTACATGTCATGTCACAGTTTTGAGATATACTTGTTGTATTAGTCATGTTATACAGTTGTAAATTTCGATAAATATTTTTTTTTTTAAATATTCATATGTAGTACATTATCGAGACAAAGTAGTAAAGAAGAGAGTATTTTTGGGAGAAATGAAATCCAAAAACAGTATTAATAATCATTATTGTAATGACGTATATCTCAGCATATCGCTACTGTTAGTGCAAAAGGTCGTAAAAATTGATTTTTTTTTTACAGAAAACAGATAATAATCTTTATGATTTATTAGTATAGTATCATATTTTATTTCTCTCTGCTATTTTCCAATTTTGGATACTACAAAACACCAGTTTTAGCACAAGGAGATTAATCATGTGAAATTTTTGCATAGAACCTTTTGCATTAAGAGTAACGATATTTGATTTTCAACACAATTTTTATTACTTTCCCATCTCTAGGTTAGGAAAGTATTGTAATCGGGTCAAATTTTTTCGTGAGTTCTTTTTTTTGGAACACCGCTCTTTTAAGTATTTTTTTTATAATGGAGTAAATTTCTTACGAAACAAAAACAAATAGTCCAAATTGGACCTGTATTAGCAATGTTACAACGTATTGAATGTTATTCAGTGATTAACAATATGAAAACTTATTATTTCAGATGCAGAGGAAATACATATGAAAAGCACACGCAATTTATTATTTGATAATTTTATTACATTAAAATAACAACTTCTATATTAAAATTACTTTTTGGTATAGATATTTTTTCAGACTTATACAGGAGCATTTTATAACAATGTTTTACTGCTAACAACCATTTGCAATTCACTTTATTCTCTTCTGTAACCTGACATGGAGTCCGCCGACAGGGTGGACGGTTATGAAAAAAGTACTAGTGTCGAACTGCAATGGTTTTCTCGTCTTAGTACCTGGTAAAATTATATATTCTGAGATTATTTTCGCTATTATGCTCTTCATCGAAATGTATGCGAACCTTTTTCCTGAAAAATTGATAGTTGAATTATTAAATAAATTAATGTTATAATCATTAGCATAATTAACACATTAGATAATACAATGTAAGCAATGAGCCGATTTCAATGATTTTATTTCATTTCTTGTTATTTAAATTGAAAATAAATCAAAAAGGTATTATCTATTTTGCACAATGGGCCTTTGGGGTTGAGAAAAAGATAAAAAAAAAATACTGAGATGGCATAATATTATATCTCGAATTTGAATGATGAAATCAAAATGTTCCTGGCACTGCAAAAAGCAAATTTAAAGAAATATATAAATGTTAGTAACTTTTTTATTTCTGTTTTGAAGTTATAAAAAATTTCAAAAGGAACAAAATTATATTTCAGCTTTAAGCTATGAATCTCGTTTTTACGTTCGTGGACTCGTTGAAAAGAGAAGAGTTTCTTCTTTCCGTATTTGTAAACATTTATTTAACTAAATTAAAAGTCGTAACTGAGAAAATATGATAAGAAATAACAACAAATTTAAAATTTGTTTGAGGATAATTTAAGTTTTCAAAAACATAGGAATATCTCATAAACATTTATTCGACCAAAGAGAAATTATTTTTAATTCATGAATATGTTCTCAACAGCTGAATTTTAGCTTTCGAAACCAGACTAAATCGTTGTTACTTTAGATAGTTTTTGATGCTATATATTTATTTTTTCGCAATTTCAAATAAATATGTATTTATTAATATAAAATTACATAAACCTCTTGTTTCAAACATAGTAAATAACAATAAATATTTTATTCCGATTTGGAAATGACTCCTTACCTATACACATTCTTGGCCCTTTACCGAATGACATAAAAAGAGAGGGTGGTGTTTCTGCATCGGTGAATCTTTCTGGTATGAATTTTTCTGGCTCTGGGAAATATTCTGGATCTGTATGAATAGAATAAGCAGGTATGCTGATGTCCATGCCCTTGGGTATGGTCAACTTGTCATTAATCTTATACGTTTGAGTACAAGTTCTCTTTAAAACTCCCAGCAACGGAAATAGGCGTAAAGTTTCTGTAAACAATTCAAAAATATAAAATACATTAGTGTTTTTAAATAGATACTTAAAACTTTTTTTTTTTGTGACACTTTGTGATATGTTAACGCCAGATTATAATAATATAATTATCTATATTGTAGGTAAATAACTATAAATATACTGTTGTAATTGGCCTAATTCTCTTGATGGACCACCGATCGCCACTCCTATAATTATTAGTATAAGCGATTAAAGCAGGAATGGGCCACCTTTAGCTCCCAATCCTTCAACTCCTATCTTACTTCCTTCTCTGCTCATGAAAATTCTCTATGGATGATCACTAGGTCATAGTAAAACCCCATCATATAGCCAACGTGATGGTTCTTGGCCAGAGCCTGATAAAGATAAAGCTGAACAATTTGCCAAAAAACTTTCTCTTACATTCATCTCTCATCTGGTATCCAACCTCTCCCATACCACAACGGTAAAATAATTCAAGATTATTGATTAGAAAATATCAAATTTCACTTGACAATACATTACTGATCTTTAAGACAATCCTGAACCCTTGGGAAGTTGACCCCCCATCCTCAATTTATTTTTAAATTTTGATAGCCTCCCTAAGAATTCTAGAGTTCCCTATACTTTTTAGAAATAGTTCTATTGTTTGATCAACCGAAAATACTACGCAAAGTTACGAAAAACGGATATCCCATTTTGTGCAAATTACGAATCTTATAACTCTTTTAATATTAATTGTATTTTATTTTATTATTTATTTTATTTTTTTATTTAGACATATAATATTCTCTCATGAGAACGATAATTATATTGTTAAATGAACGCATTCACACCGTATATACAAAAAAAAAAAAAAAAAAAAAAATTAACAAAAGTAAAATAATAACTGAATAATAATAACTAAATAATAATAAATAAAAACTAATATTAATTTTAGAAGATAATTATTAAACTTTAAACTTCATTGGGATAATTGTTAAAACTCCTTGAGGGGCTATCCAAACTCTAAAAAAAAAACCAAGAAAGGCCCCACAAAAAAGCGGCTCCCCCAAAGTGAAATTTCAGTGGTATTTAACAAAAAATTTCTATTGTTTAAATTACCGAAAATACCACCCAAAGTTACGAAAAACTGAAATCCCACTTTTTGCAACTTACGAGTCTTATAACTCTTTTAATATTAATTTTATAACTAAAGTTCATTAGAATAATTGTTAAAACTCCTTGGGGGGCTACCAAACTCTAAAAAAATCCAAGAAAGGCCCCACAAAAAAGCGGCTCCCCCAAAGTGAAATTTCTGTGGTATTTAACAAAAAATTTCTATTGTTTAAATTACCGAAAATACCACCCAAAGTTACGAAAAACTGAAATCCTACTTTTTGCAACTTACGAGTCTTATAACTCTTTTAATATTAACTTTATAACTAAAGTTCATTAGGATAATTGTTAAAACTCCTTGGGGGGCTACCAAACTCTAAAAAAAAAACCAAGAAAGGCCCCACAAAAAAGCGGCTCTCCCAAAGTGAAATTTCTGTGGTATTTAACAAAAAATTTCTATTGTTTAAATTACCGAAAATACCACCCAAAGTTACGAAAAACTGAAAACCCATTTTGTGCAACTTTCGGGTCTTATAACTCTTTTATAATTAATTTTAGAACTAAAGTTCATTAAAATAATTATTAAAAGTCCTTGAGGGGCCTATCAAAAGTCTAATCAAAAAGAAAGATTGATTTCTCCAAATAGCTCCTAAATAGTGGCTCCCCAAAATAAAATTTTCTTAATTATTTTTGGCGTTTTGATAGCTCCTCTAAAAATTCTATAGTTCTCTAATATTTAAGAAAATAATTCTATTATTTAATAATTCTATTCTATTATTTAACCGCCGAAAGTACCACTCAAAGTTACGAAAAATCACGTATTACGGAAATTGCGAGGCTTAAATCTTTTTTTTTTTTATGAACTTTAGGGTAATGGTATTATATTGATTTTTAGAACATTTAGGGGGCCATAAAACAACTCAACAGAACTCTAGAAATAAAAAAAAAAATTTCTACCAAAATTGTGACCGAAAGTTTTCCGAGTCCGAAGGGATGAAATTTATCTCAGAAAAAAATTATTCTGATTAGTGTTTTAATAATAACTAGAATTTGTTTAAAATACCAGAGAACAATGGAACTATTTGGGGGCTTTTAGAACTCCAAAAATAATTTGGAATTTTCACTTTGGGGGTGCCGCTTTTTTGGATTTTTTTTAGAGTTTGGATAGCCCCCCAAGGAGTTTTAACAATTATCCTAATGAAGTTTAGCTCTAAAATTAATATTAAAAGAGTTATAATACTCGTAAATTGCACAAAATGGGATTTCCGTTTTTCGTAACTTTGCGTAGTATTTTCGGTTGTTCAAACAATAGAACTATTTCTAAAAAGTATAGGGAACTCTAGAATTCTTAGGGAGACTATCAGAACTCACAAAATAAGAAAAAAATTATGAAAAAAAAATGAGGATTAACATTGCTCGTTTCAATTTCATGTAGGCGACACGACTGTGAAGCAATTTTGACAGATGGGTTCGTTCAGTCATCATCTCCATAAACACTACAACATTTTCTACGAGCTTCTGCAGCAAGCTTACCTTTTTTTAAAATAATACAACAAAATACGCCGATAATGAATGATATTTTCTTCCACATTCACAGTGAAATAGCAAATACAAACTAAGCTAGTTTCAACAAGAGTTAACAGATATAGTTTTTGACATATTACAAACTGGATCAAATTAGGGATTAATTCATCAGATAAGATGTGTATCATAAAAATAAACAGAAAAACCGAAAGGAGTTATTTGCCTACCCAATATATATAACTTAAAGTATTATAGTCGGATTATTATACAATTGATTATTATTATACAATACTATATTTCATGACCTATTATCCGACTTACGTTAAATTATAATATATAAATTTCGAATCATATAAAATATTGTAATATGTATGGGTTAACTGTATATAGGATATTTATAAAATAATTCTTAAGATAGTCTAAATAATTGTTTAAAAACACATGTTAAAATAGAGAATTAATAGATAACAAAAAGGTGAGGTTACAAAAGTGTTGTATTAATATACAGTGTAGAAAACTTATATAAGAGTTCGAAATAAAGCCACTTCCCACAAGCTGTGTTGTTATTTCTTCAGTCGAATCATAACTTATGTATGTATATGTATGTGCATATATAAACATTACCATAATGTAGAATAATAAATACGTACAAAATAAACGAAAATATTACTGCCTAACAATATCAATAAATTTCAAACAGTATATACATTCTCAACATTACCAGTAAATACACAATAAAAACAAAAAATCAGTTGTTTTTGGGAAGTCGTTAGATAAAGAGATTCGAATGGAGGAAGAATGGAGTATGGGCGATATTAGATGGTGCTTAAGGAATTCCAGAAGGATGTGGAGCGGAAAAGAAAGGAGTATTCCTAGGTTTTAGTTATGTGGGAAGAGGTAAAGTACATATGACCTTGTTTTCTGTATATATATTTATATATATAGAAGACCTGTATATATTAATAAATAATTAATAAATGAAATTTTAAAACATACCGTTAATAACTCCATCTAGATAAGTCATCTGCTTTATGGAATCGTAAGTAATATTATCTTTGCCTTTGAGGACACTGTCAACTTCTGTTCGAAGTTTCTCCTGGATCTGGGGGTGAAGACTTAACTGATAAATAGCGTGGCTTACAGTTGTCATCGTTGTATGATGGCCTGCTATTAAGAAACCGAACACATGGCCGACAGCTTCATTGTGTCCAATTCCTTTAATGAATTAAAAATAATATTATTCACCTCTAAAGTACCTTTAATATGGTTCATTTTAAATAATTAACTATCTCTTATTATTAAGAGCTACGAAGAAATGCCAAACATAACTTTTGAAAGAATTTAATAACTGAATAAAGGAGAAAAAAAGAAAAATTTTTATCCAGGTCGAAAATGAATCTCCGGTAATAAAAGTGAGAAGGTATTCGTATAATATATCGTTGGAAAGCGGAGAATTTTAGAAAAAATAATATCATACACAGAAAATTGTAAAATGTAACGGAGAGTGGCAAAAAAATATAAATAATTATTTCAGAAAATTAACATTATTTAACATAAATCACATGTTTCCAAGGAAATTAAATGAAACTTTCTTACTAAATGTAAACTTTTGAAATATTTTTAAGTTTTAAAAAAGTGTTTAAAAGCCACCTAATCAAGGCGATGACATTGTTTAAAATACTATTTCATTGTACTTGTGAGAAAGAAGAATTAAAATATAAAATCATTTCATGGATGTATAAAGCATATGTTTATAATCTCAAATACATTTACTGTAGTTTAATAATTCTAGATCTGATTATATATTTAAATAATTAGGTATCAACTCACGTTTATTCAGAAATATTGTCATGTAATTTTTTAGAAAATTAAATTAGTAAATAATTTCATGAATCTTCCCTTTGTGATATTCCAACAGTATCCAATACTATTTCATTGCACTTGTGTGAAAGAAGAAGTGAAATATAAAAATATTTTATAGACATGTTTATAACTTTAAATGGATTTACTGTAGTTTAATATCTCTAGATCTGATATTATACTTAAAAATTAAGGTATCTATCGTCCGTTTATTCCGAAAAATCATCATGTAACCATTTAGAAAATTAAATTAGTGATTAGTTTAATCAAATTTCATTTTGTGATATTGCAACAGTATCCAATTACAATTAGTGTGACAACTTTTGACCTGTCTATTATACAATGATAATCTCTTCATTCCGTTTTAGTAAACTTTGCAATGGAAAATAACAGTTTAATAGTCGTACAATCCATAATCAACCGGTGATATAATAAATGGGACTTTTGTTATTTTAATGGTGTTTATGATTTGTTAGTTGTAATTTTAAAGCTTATCTCAGTTAAAAATGGAATTTAAAATTTTATAATAGCTCCATAATAGCTATTTTATAATAGCTACGTGGCCAGAAAATAATTTATATTCTAAGTTGAGCGGTAAGTGAAAGTTGTGTGTTGTGTTCAACAGATTTTTTTAATACAAACGTCGCATTATTCATCCAATGTGTTTTATTTCAACATTGAAGAAGATCGCTATTCTGAAGGTGTTTCTTTCATTTAAGAAATTGTAAACAATAATATCCTTCAAAACAAACAACCAATTATTTTTCTATACTTTGTGAATTACCTTCTTTTGCTAATTCCCGCCGACTAGTTATCAGGTTTTGTTGGCAAATAAGATTTTTTTAAATATATAATTAGTTAATAATACTCACTGTCAGTTTCCAGAAGTCCTTCTTTTTGCATTTTTCCAATCAGTGCGACCAAATCCTCACGATTTACATTCTGGTCATTTCTTGATTGCAAGAGTTCATTGGTGAAATTATTAAAATAGTTCCAAAAGACACGAGGAAAGGCTGACAGTTTCAATTTATGATAGAGACTTGGAAAAACTACGAAGAAAAGAAATCGTCGTACACTAGATCCAGGAGGACGGGCGAAGATTTCAGATAATTCCGATAACTTGGAATGACTTTCTTGATTCTGAGACGAATCAATACTGTACATAAAGGAAGTGAGTATTTTTAATACATGTCGCTCCATAATCCTCATCAGCTCAACCTCATCCGTCGATTTGAGTAGTTTTTCAAACTCTCCCAACAAAGAATCCTGTTGTTCCTCCAATATGTTCGATAGTTCCCTCAATTTTTTCGGACTGAATAATTTTGTAAATATCTGCCGTTTTGCTTTCCATCGTGCTCCACTCATGGTGAATAAGGAATCCATAACAGCATCGGGTTCTGTTTCAGTAATCAATTCCGGGTGGTCTATGAAATAATTGAATTCGGTTTCAGTAATCGCTTTGATCAGTTCTGGATCGATAACAAGCAATGTCGGCTTCCAGAAATTGTAATACCCTATGTAGGGCTCGTTCTTGTATTCCTTGTACCACTCGTGCACCATGTCCGGCTCCGAGAACTTGAGGCTGATGAAGTCTTTCATGTTACCCACAACCATTGTTGGTTCTGGTCCGGCGACTTCAAGGTTCTTCCAGTAGTTGTAGCGTCTTTTTAAAAATATGTAGGCTGCTACACACACGAGGCATATTAAGGATGTTATAAGTCCCAGCATGATCTGTAAAATATCATAGATAATATTATTAATTCTTAAAGAATTTAAATTATTGCGCTTAGATAATAATTATATTTTACTTGTATAGTTGTGATACTTATAAGATATGATGAAATTTTACATTTTTTGTGTATCGAAAAGAATATTTCCACATATTAATTGACTAAGGTTTGAAATAATTTTGTTAATAATTTGTCCGGAGTTAGACCAGGTCAGCGATCTGGAAGTGTTCCCTAGTCAGGGAGGCTCCGGAAGAAATCCCTAAAATCGTTGTTATATATTTTTCTAATATCACATAAAACATAGCGGTTGGTCCCAAATATAATTATTTTTTATTTTTTTGGAATAAAAATAATTTTGTATGGTTTTGTCAACTTGGAATGATTGGGACGCCTCAGCAGATCGTCGATTTGTGTTTATCTTGTAGCATGGTATGTTAGACCCTCAAGATTATTGTTTTTAATATCTTATTTCGTAGTATGTTTTCAGCGGTACCGCAGGGCCCTAGAAAAGTACTGTTTTATATTATTTTTGTACCGAGGAATGTTTGGCCCACAGATTTTTCTTTTTATTCAAAAGTATGTTGGGTGCCCCTCCGGTTGATAAAAAAAAAAAAAGAGTTTTGTATTTTGCTTCCTCACTACCGAAGTTAGAGAAGCATTGTATTCGTGCAAGAGGTTAAAAAAAAAATTTGTGCTCTGAATCGAAAATTTCCATTCGCTTTTTACGGTTCAGACAACAAGGATCAAATTTGGTTCGGTGTCTGCCTGTCTGTCCGTCTGTCACTAGTCAAAACGATGTAACGGGCATATCACCTACTACCGTCCATCCAATTTTCATAAAATTTTCAGGAATTGTGCGGATTGGTGTCTAGATGGTCCCATATCAATTTTATTAAATTCTAACCACCACTTTCGCTTACGCACGAGCAACGCATTTTTGTAGATATGCCAATAATTTAGATATGGCTCGTTCGATCTGGCTCAAAATTGGATAAAAGGTAAGTATTTGTGAAAAAATAATGTAGGGTCAATTTGATTGAATTCTGTCCATTGCTTTCTCTTATATATGCGCAAAATGGTTTTCCTTAATACGTCCATATTTCTAAAACCGCAAGTTTGATTTTGCTGAAATTTTGAGGGACTTTAGGGATTGGTAAACATAAAGTGAAATAGACATCAATTTTATCAAATTCTATACTATCAATAAAAATATATATATATATTTCCGCTTTCAGAACAGGAAATGTGTTATTTGATATGCCTATAGTTTGAAAACGGCGCATTAAATTTGATCCAAACTTGGAAGAAACTTGGAGAACAGTATAGAAATAACTTAGTACCAATTTAATTGAATTCCATTTATTAATTAAAATTAATATAAATAATTGTTAACAATATAATGGCTGCGAAATGTTGAAGGCACATTTTTTAGTCTGCAACTGATTTAAGTAGTCTGCTACTATGGAAAATAGTAAATAACAATAAAATATGAAATAAACGAGAAGGAAATAACGAGTTTTTATGCATTGTTGCACTCTTGCAAAACAATCAATTTTTACATACGACCTTTTGTACTATCAGTAGTGAAATGCTTGTTCAAGATGCATTTTTTTTTTTTTTTTTTGTCTTTTTAATTAGGGATAATCAAATGTGGAAAAATGGAAAAAACGAAAAATTGTATACCTTGTAATATTTTTATATTTTAGCCAACGAAAACGGCGAGGAAGCTATACTGGACGTACTAGGCTGACGTTTTTTTATCACTAATTATTCGATTAGAGTGCTCCGAAGATTTGTATTTATCTGGTATTTTTGGCTCCGAAAAGTAATTGCTCTTTATTTTGTTTCCGTAGTGTTTATGTTTTTTTAATTCCCATAGTATGTTTCAGAACCGGCAAAAGCAATGTTTTATTTTTTTGAAGTGAAAACTTCGTTAGGCGATTTTTGCACTTTTTCGTAGTGGGTGAATCAAATTGAGAGATTTCCGATGTGGAACGCTCGAGTAAAGTCGGCTGGAGCCAACTAATTGAAGTAGTTTTGCAGATGGATTAAAATATGTCAACAACTAAAAATCATACCTGTGTTCTATAAGGGAGGGAATTGTTCAGCATTTCATCCTCTTTATAATGTGCTATTATTTATAATTTATATTTCATGTTATTAATTTTGTCTTGCCGATGTTTCACTTCAATCGCGTAGTCTAAAACACACACTTTTTTCTTTGTTATTGTGGTATGTTTTGGAGCCCTGGAGAGAAATTTCATAATTTTTGTTTTCTATTTTTTATTACTTTAGTAATAAAAAAATCATTTTAGTAATATAGTACGGGTACAGGAAAGTACTTGTACCTCTGGGAGGTAGGTAGTGGGAATCACTTCAAACTCCTAGAAGCCGGTGAGCGGGAACGAACTTCATTGACCTACAACTGCATAATGACGGAAATTGTATTCACGTTCTAATCCAGCCGAACTCCATGTTGCCCACAGACAAGAAAGAAAATAATAAATTAATAAATAGTAATCATAGTTCAAGATAAATTATAAAGAAGAGCGTGAGACATTTTTATGTTTCTAGCTTGATGATGGAACCGAGAAAAGAAAAGAATATTTAGATATTAATAGGAAAGCATTAACCAGATATTAGAATAAGCTATACTAATAATAATAAAAATAAAGCAGAAGATTAATCCACTTTCATTCTCTTCGACATAAGAATGCTCCTGTGATTACTCCTCAATTCACAGAAGTAACTGCACCCAATGCCACAATGATACTCAGCACAGTGAGATGAGTAAGGGAAAACTTGCAAATAGGCTAAATCTATTTATTATTTCTAATTGAACTATTCAATAAAAATAGTGAAGAATGTATATTCTGCCAAATGAAAATATTCTCGGAAACTCCACAAAGTATCAACAAAACAGTTTATTTACAGTTCTAAAAAAAATATATATATATTTAGCCGACATGCAACCCCGAAATGGTATGGCTGATGGATTAGGTGTCTGACTCTCACGACCTCAGTCAGTCAGTGAAGACCTCAGTTCGAATCCTCATTCATAGAATAATTTTTTGGGGGGCGGGGTGGCTGAATGCACCGTGCCCAGCAACCAGATAACCGAAGTTATGAGATCAAATCAAGTACGAGTTCGCCTCCTGGTGTCGGAGGTGATTTTAAATTCTCCGTCCACGCCCTCCGGCTCGGGAAAATCCCGTATAGCCTAAAAGGCGAGGTAGGAAAGAACTTAAAAAAAAAATACTGCAAGTCCGTCTCCAAAAATAGGGATAGTTCCATCCGAATTGACCGCTGGATAACCAATATTACTACATCCTACTGCTTACAAAGATGTCTTAAAGGACTTATAAACCTCTAACTTAAAACCCAAAAAAACTCACCTGTAGTTTCTCAACCTCTTGCAGCTCGATGGTACGATGGCACAATAATTAAAAAAGTGGGGAAGGAGTAGCTCCTTTTCAAGGAAAAATTTGAGATCTTTCTCGTTGATTAGCAGAGATAGAGAATGTTGACGTCACTTATCGATGGGAGGTAGGAGATAGCCGAAATGATATAAGTGTCTTTTACCTATACTGCCACTTATTTTTGTTTATTTTTAATTTCGTATCAATCAAAAACGTAACATGAAAATTAGGATCGGAGTTAAATAAGAGGACAAATGCCTCGTACGTAACATAATACATCGTCAGTTTACTGCAAAAAATCTTTAAGTGGCACTACATAACCTTAAATCACTAAATATTCTAGTTCTAATTCTAAGGAAGAGAATAATGGTAAAGTATATTTATTTTAATTTTTTCAAACGTTTCGGCCCGAAGGTCAGGCTTTCGTGGGGGCTGGTCAAACGAAAGGATTCGGCAAGACGGGTTTTCGTTTCGGGTCTTCGGGTCGATAATTTGATCACAAAATCGAGAAAAAAAGGCGGCTTATAAATATATTGGTCTGTTAGGCTTATATAACCTCTGGCTTATATATTTTTGAAATGTTGGAGTGTAGGTTACGCCAAACGGTCCAATATTTTTGTAGGACACCTTTTTTCTCGATTTTGTGATCAAATAGTTTTACGAATCAAGTGGAAAGCAAATGAGTATATACGAGCTTTTAGTGCCTAATTAAATAGACATTGTTTGCCGATATCCAGATTGAAAACGTCCCAAATCCGAGAAGTTTCGTAAATAAAATAGTTGTACATTACGATTAGATGAAACTATTTTCGAAGTTTCAGCTTGATGTTAATGATTTGATGAAAGGGGTCTGTCTGTATGACAGATTAACACGGCATCAACAAAAAAAGTTATTACTTTTTGTGTTATTCAAAAATCCAATTTTACCGTCTTAGCTCTGCATCTCTTCGAGAACGGTACCAAAACACAACACAATCTGTTCCGTAGCCTCGTAGTCCTGATTCTGGTTTGACAATTTCAATAATTATCCACATAGCTTATTAAAAAATATATTTAAAAAAACGAACGTGTGTGCTTTAAATCACGCGATAGAAGTGAAAACATCAAGGCGAAAGTAATAATATGAAATATAAATTATAAATAATAGTCGATTATAAAGAGAATGAAATGCTCAACATTTCCCTCGCTTAATGTATATAAGTGAAATTTTTAGTTTTTGAAATATTTTAATCCACATCTTCAATAAAACTCGCTATAATTTGGTTTTCGACACTATTTTCTCGTTTTTATGCAGAGTTGAAGTGGCTTTATCCTTCCTATATATTCCTATAAGTATTTCCTGGCATCCTTCCTCTTTCAAGTCACCGTCCTTCCAATCCCACCGTCCTTCATACATATCCGAGCTCCTTCAATTCAAATCCTATGTTCGTTCCCGCAATACTCGTTCCCGGTCTTCTGATTTATAAGTCAGGGCCCACCGAACCGCTGCTCGTTCATTATCCGATCCTCATCCCTATGGAACTCCATCCCTCCTCACACCCATCAATCCAATATCCTTCCTACCTTTAAATCCCGCCTGTTCAATCATTTCTTATTCATCCAGTCCCCATAAAATCGTAAATAGTTACTACTGTAAGTATGTATATAAATTATTAGTTCGCTCTTCATTATTTTTATTTGATGTTTATTTTCAATTTTTTTGTTTTTTATTATTTACTGATCCAAATTAGTATTATATTTTGACTATTTAATTACTCTATATTTTATAGAGTTTATGATATAGTTTATGTATCTCTAAGGCTCCTTAGCCCACATTATTGTCTTTCTATATTATTCTAAAAGGACTCGTCACAGAATAAAGAAAGCATTATTATTATTTTTTCCTTTTCGCCTCCCTAACACGGCGTTTCGTTAAGATATAATTTTGAATTATAGCCTATTACAGAGAAGATGAAATGCTGAACATTTCCCTCGCTTACTGTATGGAGGCCCGATTTTTAGTTTCTGAGATATTTTAATCCATACCTAAAAAATATTTCAATTAGTCGAATCTAGCCGACTTTACCCGAGAGTTAATACCGAGCGAAATCTGATTAATCTAATTCACTCTCCAAAAAAAAAAAGTACGAAGTAAAGAAGTTTTTCCCTTCACAAACTATGTGCACAAAAATATAAAATTTTTAACTTTAATTTAAAAAAATATAATAATTTTGACAAATTCACCAAAACTAAATTTGAGAGACTGGTTGATACAGTTGCATAATAGAGCGAAATTTTTTAATCCACCGTCTCACAATAATACCTTCTTGCCTATAGATCCAATTTAATAAATAATCACACACGACAGTGATCATTGGAGTGATTATGAGTTGGACCTATAGACCAGATAAATAATTAATAATAAAAAAACGCAAAAACTAGAAACTAAAGATATAAATATTAATGATGAAGATATGAATACAAAAATATACATTTAATTTTGACATTGAGTTATGAATAAAATATAATTTCTTCAAATATGGTAAACCTTTCTATCAGCAGTTGTATGGTTCACCGATGGGAGGTAATATGTCAGTTACTTTGCGTGGAATATAATTAAATATTAATTCAACTATTAAACTAGATGAAGGAACTACAAACCCTATTTTACTGACTGGAAATTTTCATTGTTTCCAAATTCCAGATTTGTGAGAAACATAGAATTGATTTCATTGTTTGGAAAATTTAACACGAGACAAAAAGGAACTCTAATTTCATCTTTCAAACCATATATCATTAATTAAATCACCGACTCTTTATCTTTTCATTTTACGAAAATGTCATACGGAAGAAAGTTTTTTAATATTGAATTTTCTTTAAGAATATATTACTTGACTTCAACCACCATTCAAAGGTTAGAGAAATCATAATTTAATGATTTGAATCCGAAGCTATACGGAATAACTTATTTTTCACAATTTTCGTTATTACACTACTCCTAATCTGTATATAAGACAGTATATATATGTATGTTATGTAAGCCAATGTATAGATATGTATGTTGTCTTAATTGCCTAAAAACACGTTTTATTTATTTAAAAAAAAATTAAAAATAATGATTTTTAAAAATATTCTTTATGTAAGATGTATACGAAAATGTGTTTTTCTCTAAGATTTCTGTCATAGGATTTGATGTGTATTCATAAGTGAAAATTTCATGTTTCTAGCGTCAATATTTAGGTTTTCATGAAAAAAAAATTGAAGCAATCCGTAAATGTACGTAAATTTTAATAAGAAACATTAAGTTTATCACTGATAAATACACATAAAATTCTATTACAGAAATCTTGGAGAAAAATACAATTTCGGAACCATCTTGTTTACAAAATGTTTGAAAAATCATTATTTTTAAATTTTTTTAATTTTCAAAAATAAAACGTGTATTTAGGCAATTATTTTTATTAAAATACACTCCATATCTCAGAAAAATAAGAAATAAAAGCTTTGCAACAGTCATTTTTTGCAGAAATTACGGGTATTTGAAGTGACTGGATCGGAAATCACATATTTTCTGTACACAACATGAGCTAAACCTCAAACTTTTCTCCAAGTAATATGGACTTAAAGCTTACTAAATGAGCAAGTGTTTGTAAAATTGGGTAACTATAGTATAGTTTAAGGGTGATGAAAAATCCCATATAATTTATAACTTTTTTTAAAGGGAACTTAACTGTGTTTGTCCGCCCAATTGTTCTCTTTAAATAGTTTTAACAATGACAAACTCCAATTTCTTTTGAAATAAATTTTCTATTATTTATTATAGAGCAATGTATAATTACTTAAATCTAATGTTTTTATGATATCACTTTCTATTCAACAAAAAATGTGACACCCTTAAAAAACACAAATCTTAAATTTCCAACTTTTCTGCTGGTAATTGCGTAATTGTTTTTATGTTTTGTAGGTCTTGAGGTTTACTATCAACCATTTAAATATTTCTCTCTAGTTACGGAACACTCTGTGTATGGATAGACAGATAGATTGATAAATAGATAGATATACTACATATTAACAACTTTTTTTTTCTCTCTTTAATTATTTATCCGCACCTGTCATGGTGTTGACTATCAGCAGATGCGTTCTGATGAGGATAGGCATTAAAGGCATGAGGAAGGATAGTACCCAGCAGCACCTCTTCCTGGTCATTATTTATTTCTTTGATTTAGGCGAGGAGATCTCTCATCCAGCTCCTTTTTAATCTTCTCCTGATGAACATGTGTCATAGCTATGTCGTTTATAAGTCTGTTTGTGTGTCCGTGTAGTTTGAGATGAAAACGAGAGTAGAGAGTACGTATGTGTTGGTCGATAGTTGGTTGTCGTAAGTCGTTATGTAAAGTTTTGTTGTTGACGTACCAGGGAGCTCCTGTTATAAGGTTTACTTTTAAAATTAATGTTGGTATTAATATTATTTCAACCAGTCTACTTATTTAGCAAATGTCTTGCGACAATATGCTTCTCATTGTTTGCAATTTTACATACGCAATTACGCGTGACAGTCCTTGAACGTTAAATATATCTCAGAAGTGGAGAGCCTTGAGTATTCTAAATAAAATAAAAGGCTTAGACACGATCATGATCTTCGGTATAATTTTATAACGCAATGATATCTGGAACAGATAAAATAAATAACATAGGTTTAACTTAAATAGAAGAATGGCTAATAAATAGCAAAAAAAAAAACTCCAACTTGGAAGAGATACTTTTTACTACAACCTACTTAGGACTTATGCTTCTCAGCCATTCGTTACTTGAGAACAGTCATATAAAACTTTGCACTTTACAAGTAAAGTTTTTAAACTAAAAGTACATCTGAGTTATACATCTTTAAATATTAAATTACAATGCCGAAAGTTAGTGAATACATAGAGACTTACTACAAACGATTTCATTCCCAATTACAAATACTAAACATTTCATTCATGAAAGCAATGGTTAGGGCATAAGAAGAAGATTGAAAAAAACATAAAAAAAGGGAAGAACAAAAAAAAAAAAAAAAAAAACGCCAGTTAACGTTCTTCCGTTCATCTGAAAATTAAATTTTTTTGCTTCCTTACAATCGAAGTTAAGGAAGCTTCGTATTCGTGCA